CCCAGCATGCCAGACCCCCTCCCACTGCTGAGCCCGAGCTCGCCCTGCCGCACTCCCCAGCCCTTGCTGCAGCCCTGCTGTTGACTCCGGGAGGTGGCGAGCCGTTGCCTTGGACCCTGGTGCCTCCATCTCTGTGCTGCCATGCTCACTCACTCCCCCACCATCTCTCCATCTCTCCCTCGCTGTGGTAAGCTTGAGTCTGGTCGGGTGCTCTCCTTGGGGATCCTGCGCATCATCTGTTGGCCCCTCCCGTAGCTCCCAGCTGGAGCTAGGACAAAATGATACAGACCCCTTAGTGTTCTAACTTCTATAGGCCTGTACTGATTTCACCTTTAGTGTCCTGTATTTCTCCAAATGCAATTCAATTGTTATTCTTATCACCCTCTTTGAATCACACATTGCTTTTACTGATATGATGCTTTTAGTTAATACACATCTAGATATTATACAGTATAAGAGATCTATCCTGGATTAACTATAATTCTTCTCGGTAGGGAGTCCTGGAGTCTATTTTTCCTGCAAAAGGATCTAAGGATTTCATGGGAACATTATTAGTACATTCCCCAACCTACAGTTTTGAAGATTCTTTGGGAGAAGACTTATAAGCTAAACTGGTATGAAACCATTACAACATTATACTGTAGAGAAGCCCATGATAATGAATTTAAAAGTAGAGCCTATTATTTATTCAGTTTGAGTCACTGAAATATATTTGTACTGGGAATACAATAAATAAGATAAGCTCTAGAAAGAGGTTCTGGGCGGGTGCTGCGGCCTTGGGCATTCAGCATCAATTTGCTGTGGTGACCTCAGCAGGGAATAATGACACAGACTCCACTGTTTTCTCCAGGGGAACTAATCTCTGCCGTCTGAAGAGCAGTTATAATTCTGTGTGATCTCCAGCCCTCACCTGGAGATTAGCAACAATGGTTCCCCAGGAGGAAATGGCTGGTTTGGAGGGTGGAGTCTATAGCATTGTACTGGTCTGAGGTCCCACCCCTCCTTAAACCCCACTTCAGGCTCCACCCCTCAGATCTCTAGGAATTTCCCAACCTGGAGTTGACAACCCTATCTCCTTCCCACCCAACCATCAACCTACCTTTATCTGTCCCTCTGACTTCAGCTTTCCATCTTCTCCCCCTTCCCTGCAGCCTCTACCTAGGAAAAGTACAGTCTTTCTCTGCAGAGGGGACCAAAGCAGCTTACATCATTCTCCTCTCCCCCTGTTGATCTGCACAACAACCCTGTGAGGAAGGTTAGGCTGAAAGTCTGTGAGTGGTCCAAAATCACCCAACCAGCTTCCACAGGAAGAACCTGGGTCTGGCAGACCCTGCTCTAAAGAACTAATTGCTACATCACAGTGGCTGTTATAGGGGGGCTACTGCTGGTGAACAGGAGCAAGCAGCCAGGCCTAGTTAAGTCATGCCAGTGACGTGGCATCAAGTCACCCAGAAGGTGCTGCCAGGCATAGGGTAGACAACCTCCAGGTGGAGCCTGAAGATTGCCTGGTATCACAACTCAACGTAGAACAACAGATCTCTCGCTCTCCCCCTGGAGAAAATAACTGCTTTGGAGGGTGGACTCTATGGCATTCTATTCAGCTGAGGCCTCTCCCCTCCCCAAACTCTGGCTTCTGTAGACTCCACCACAAAATCTCCAAGAATTCCCCAACCTGTAGCTGGTAACCCTAGTCAGGACTGGCCCCAATGAGTTTTCTCTCAAAGGCCCAAAAAGGCCTGGAAGGGCCTCCCCCCCACTTTTTACTGACAGAACCAAGCTTGGTTGCCTAGTAACCGCCACTGAGGGGGAAAGTGAGCCCCACAACAGGAGGAGAAGAGAATGGTTTGATGGCCAGTAGCTCACCTCAGTAGCCAGCCAGCCTTGGAGCAGCCAAGCAGGAGAAGTAGTAGAAGTGCAAGCCTCTTCCTGAGCAGGGAACAGCCATTTCAGTAGCCAGCCAGACATGGAGGAGTGAGACAGTGGCAGTAGAAGCATCTTCATCAGGAGAGACAGCTGTTTTGGCAGTTTATTCAGACAGGGAAGAGTGGCCAAGCCGGCAGTGGGCAGGGGAGAGGAGTGGGCTCAGCACCCAGCCAATGGCATGTGAAAACTCTTGAGTGGCAGTTGATGGGCCAATGGCTGATGGAGCACACAGCACAGCCAATGGGAGAGCCAAAAAGTGCCAATACACTAGGGAGATATATACACAGACACACATATATATATGATACTTGTGTATTTTTAGCCCTACAGAGATTTGCCCTAACCACAAATGATCTTATGGAATTAAACCAACAGGTTACTCTGTTAAAGCTGTAGAAAAGAACAAGAATCCAGTAGCACCCTAAAAGACAAAAAAAAAATTGTGGCAGGGTGCTCTCTTTGTCAGATCCACAAAAACTCATATCCTGCCACAAATTTTGTTAGTCTTTAAGGTGCTACTGGATTCTTGTTCTTTTCTACTGTTACAGACAGACCAACATGGCTACCCATCTTGATCTATCTGTTAAAGCTGTTAAAGGTAAGATTAAGATTAAACAAAGGTTAAAAAGTTAAAAATGACTCATGGCGACTCCATGGGATTTTCAAGGCAAGAAATGAACAGAGGTGATTTGCCATTGCCTACTGTTGTATAGCAGCCCCAATCTTCTTTGATAGTCTGTCATCCAAGTACTGGCTGTGCTTAGCTTCCAAGCTCCTAGGCACCTAGGAATCGATGATTAGATCAAACCAAATAACACCCTCCCCCGGTATATACTGACAACTGACAACACATCATCCACAATGGCTCCATGACATCATTCTTATTTGTCACCGTTGTTTCTTTAAAATGTATTACATTTATTTTCATAATGTTATGTGACACTATTGGGAGTTGGAGTGGGTAATGATAATGGGTGTAATCCAGAGACTGTAGGATGCTCAAGTAGGTCCTATTTGCTTCAGTTTAAAGTTCTGGATACAGTTAAATATTGAACTGCACATGTAATTGATGTCAACTGGATTTAAGGCATAATCTTCATTTAATAAAGTCAATGGGAGTTTCACTAGTAGCTTCAGTAGCATCCAACATCCAACTATCAAATCGTTCAGACAAGCCAGTGCTTAAATTTCTTACATCACAGCTCTAATGTGCTGATGGCCTCTGACTATTCAGTTAAAACCAGGCTCACCATCCTTTTACAGTGTGTAGAGGAATAGTAAAAGTGAGCTCAATGGTTGGTGGTCCCTGTCACTAGGTAGACCATATGGCAAGCTTCTGCATGGCTACTGACTGCCACCCAGCTATCCAATAGCCACCCTGGGGCCTCTTCCCTAACCTGAAATCCTTTACATCTGGAAGAAGGCTGCTGTCTTCTTACAGAAAGCTGTCTGTCTGCAACAGAGTATACCTGGGGAGCACCAGTGAGTAGAGAACATCTGTTGCAGATTCATATCTGTGCCCATGTTCAAAATGTTTCAACACCACTATAGCTACAATGCTTCTGGCATGGCTTCCAGCATTCTTTAGCTAACTCACTCATGACTAAATAACACCCAAAGCCACTTATCCACACTAGTGCTATTCGAAGCATACAGATTGCCCTACCCCAGAAGAGTACACTGGGGCTACTTTCTGTAGTTTCTCACATTATAACACCAGACTGGTTTGCATATTCCCTTTAAGAGACAAAGCTTCAGGGTCCTCTGGGGTGGCCCCCACGCTACTTCAAGCAATATGTATATCCTTCACAGACTGTATGGCTGTATGCCATACTGACAAGCTATAATGAGTCCAACTTCACCATGGGTCATAACAAGGCAATCTGCTGTAGCCCTCTCAGCAGAAGACAGTCATGGTATTCAGGAACACCACAGAGGAGACAACAACTGTGCCATACTCTATGCAGTTGTATGAATAAAAGAGCAATAAATGTGTATATGTATAAAAGGCACTTGTGATGGACTGCCCTTAACAACAAGTTTCCTAGTACAGCCATTTCAGAGACCTGGGAGGTGAAGAGTTAACGATTCGCTGGAATGGAGAGCTTGAGTGACAGGCTGCTCCCTCCTCCCCCTTCACTTTGATTGGCCAGCGCCAGCTGAGGAGAACTATATGATTAGCTGAGTGCTGAGGGCATGGTCTTTTTGGAGTCATTCGGCCAGTTGGTCTTTGGGAAGTCAGGCAGTCAGTGGGCTTCTGACAGAGTCGGCTGGAGTCAGTGAGTCTGAAAGAGTGAGTCACACAGGTTCACCTTTGGAGTGAAGGGAAACGACTCCTTGCCTTAACTGTTTTCTATCAATTCTGAGGAGGAATCGGAACTGAATGCCTAAGGGTCAGCCTAAGCTGAAGTCCATTTTACACAGACACCAGAACTGGGACTGAGATTTTGGTGAGGGTGATTGGGTAGTATGCAGAAACTCCCATTCAGGCCAAAAGAAAAGGGCTGTATCTTCTGAGGAGAAGAATGATTCCTGCCTTTTGCTCTGAGAAGATCCCTGGTCGGTTATGAAGGGAATCGGATTTAGACACCTCGGGATATTGAAATAAACTGTGGTTTCCAAACGAGGGAGAGTTTAGGTACATAAATAAAGAGACTGTCTCCAGGAGACCTGGTCATAGGGAACTATATGAAGAAACATTGTAACTGTAACTAAAATACTCACTCAAACACCTCTCTCGCTGTTAAGATCCAAGAATACATGGAAATAAATTTCAACACTATTTTGATTGTCAAAAGAAGAATAATCTGTATTAACATTTTTTTCCTCAAAATTTCCAATTCCTCTCTACACCTGCCTGTTAAGTAAAATCATTATTTCTGTTTGAGTGTTATACCATCTCAAGCACCATTTGAAAGAGAAAAACAAGAGGGCTCCTGCTTATCCCATCAAGTTCCTGGGCGGGGCTAAAAAACAGATTAGATCTTTGTGATGGGGTAGGACAGACTTTTAAAACAATAACTAAATCTATGCTACTTGGGGCTGCTCAGTCACAGCTGGGAACAATTTTTTAAAAATTTTTTAAAGGTCTGGACAACAATGATATATATGGGTAACTTTAGAAGAGATTTTGAGGTGTGCAACACTGATTTGAACCATTTCATACCACAATCTATATACATTTTAACAGTTGGGAACAAATTTTTGGCAGGAAAACCTGTCTGATAGTGGGAAAGTGCCGGGGTCCATCACAGCACTCTGAGGGGAAATGGGTTTGCACACACATATGAGGGTTTAACTTTTGCACTTTCTGGGATAGTTGCCTTTGGTCTCATGCTATATTCAAAGAAGGAAAGTGACACATTTCCTGGAGTTCTTTCTGGCAAAAGGCCTCTTGGCCTGGCAGCAGAAACAGAATCACACTGATGCTTCCCTAGCAGAGCTTTACAAAGGTGGGCATTTGCAATGTGGACCAACAGCATCTTCCAGTAGTTAACATCCACAACTCTGGTTCCAACAAGTGGTTCCCCTTAGCTCTTTGGGGCATATAAGGGATCTAGTAGGAGGATAGCGATTGTAGACATATTTCTCTTATCCATCTGAATGAATATATCAATTAAGCACCACCACCCCATTTACATAAATGTAACCCTAACCCTACTCCCCCCCCCCCCCCGTTATGTAAACAGTCATCAGTTTGGTGGTGATTTGATAAGGATGTCTCTCCTCCCAGATCCCTATACTTTCTGTTGTTGGACTCCAGGGACAGTTGAACCGTACAACCAGATGCCCACATAGAAGACTTGGTACCTGTCTTTCCACATCACAAAACATGCTGCCAAACCCACAAAAGCAGCCAGGAGGTTCAGAACTATTTGGATCAGTAAGTAAAGGCTGAAAGTCCCAAGGAAGTTGGGGCAGTCAGATATATCTTGGTAAATGAAAGTTCTGCTGAGGGGATCCTCTGTGTCCAATTTACACTGGCAGGTCTCAGAGATGGTTTCACAGGTCAACTGGGTGATCTGGGAATAACAGTAGGCGGCAAAAGCCACGGCGAGCACACAGACGACCAGGCTCAGAGCGCTCAACAGGAAGTAGGTGACCTGGAAAGAAAGCACAAGGGGGCACTTTTTAGCACAATGGTAGGTGACAGTGAACAGCCAAAAGGTCACACATGAACACTGACAATCCCAGATGAATTTCAGTGAATGTCCAAAAGTAGATAACAATTGTCTCAACTTTTCCAACATACACCACTGATCGCTGGCAGTAAAATTGATATAACTGTTAATGTTCACTAGGGAATCTCTGAGATTCTGGAAATTCACTAAATGTATTCGGTTTGTTCATTTATACAGGTTGTAGCATTTGATGCTTTAGTGTGTGAGGAACAGACATGTGATGGACCAGGCTTTAGATCCAAGGGTCCATAAAAATGTCTCTCTTTTGTGGGTGAGGGTGAGGAGCAGAAGTCCAAGAGGCAGGCCAATAGCCATGGGGGGCATGTGAGGGTGACACCCCCGCCAAATTAGCCCTGGCCCCTCACTGCCCATCCCTCCTGGTCCCCCTCCCTCCCCTTCTCGAGCCTGCATGAGCTGCTGCATTACTTTTTTGCAGGTGGGCTGAGCTTTGCTGGCATTCTGCTCTCCAAAGTGACCAATCTTTCCAGGTACAGGCATGTTTCTGCCCCTCCACCACTGTTCCACAAGTATGCAAGAAAACCATCCAGGCGGTTTTACGACAAGCAGTAAAACCAGTGGCCAACTGCAATGCCCATTCCGGAGCCATGTGTTTGTGCTTCAGCACCACAGGAGAACTGCCACTGGGGGGTGGGTGGGGGTGGAACCACTCTTGAAAGTAATCGAGCCTGCAAGTCAAGAGAGGCTGAAAGGGAAAGGGATTTTCTTTCCCTTTCCTCCACCTGCAAGTGGCCTCAGCCAAGCTGGGGGGGGGGGGAATAAAAAGAAAGAAGACAGCTCCACAATCCAAAGGAAAAGTGCAAAGGAGAAGTGAAGGAGGGCTAGGGAATCCACCTGTCATAGAATTAGTAGCCATGGGGGCTATTTATACCCAAGGATAGCTTTCCGGTGGAGCTGATACTACCCCTGTCTTCTATATAGGTTCCCCCACCCATGCAAAGGGCTTTACGTTTGCCATATCTCACCCTGCTCCAGATTCTCTCCTTGCCCAATCTCTGGATCAGGCAAAGATTTCATCTAAGCCAGTCCCCCCCCCCAAAAAAAAACAATGGCCAACCAGAGGCATTCAGTGAACCTCTAGGGTGGGCATCAAATTTGCTGTTTAAATGCTAACCAAGGAAGAAAGTTGGGAACATCTTTTGTCAGCGGCAGAAGACCTAAGTTGACCTTCTGTTCTGTTCTGTTTGGGGATGAAGTTTGAGGAGGGCAGAGTTTGGAGAGGGGAGGGACTTCAGTGGGTATAATGCCATAGAGTCCACCTTCCAAAGCAGCCATTTTCTCCAGGGGAACTTATCTCTGTCTTCTGGAGGTCAATTGTAATCCCAGATCTCAAGCCACCACCTGGAGGTTGGCAGCCATACTCCTTGCATCACAAACAGTTGGATGATCCATTTGCATCCAGTGCCGTGATGCTGCTGTCATCCACTGTTGCCTTAAAAAAAAAAAAAAAGGAGGCCAAGCCCAAGATGTAAAACCTAGAGAGATGCAGTGGGCCATTCCTTTTTGTGAGGGGTACTTTGGCAGTGGCTCAAGTGGTTAAGACGCTGAACTGCAGGCTGTGGAAGGTCAGTAGTTCAGCAGTTCGAGACCCGGGTGCCGCATGATGGAGTGAGCTCCCATCTCTAGTTCCAGCTCCTGCCAACCTAGCAGTTCGAAAGCAAGAAATTGCAAGTAGATAAATAGGGACCACTTTGGTGGGAAGGTAACAGCGTTCCGTGCACCTTGGTGTTTAGTCATGCCGGCCACATGACCACGGAAACGTCTTCGGACAGCACTGGCTCTTCGGCTTTGAAACGGAGATGAGCACCGCAACCCTAGAGTCAGATTCGACTGGCTTTCGAGCAAGGGAACCTTTACCTTTACCTTTTACTTTGGCTCAAGGGAGCATATCTGAGGGGAAGGTAGGCCTTTTCCAGACTCTTGCTTTCATTACTTGACTGAACCAAGAAAACAAAAGACTGGAGATAGCAGTCATGACCAGCCACTGCCAGGTGCACATGGAGGTGCATGTGAGTAGATCATGTACACCAGGAGCCAGCTGCGTACGTCTGCCCATCCTCCCAGGACACACCACCCTGAACTAGATTGCCAAGGGGCCCTTAGGCCAGGTGAGGCTTGGATGGCCTCCTCTCACTCCCCTGTTGTAACAAACCTTTTCCCCTACAAGCACACAATTTAGCACAAAATGTTTCATATCACAGTCTTCCTGGGGCACTTTGGAAACTAGGAGAAGCCAAAAAAGAATCCCCTTCCATGATAACTAGCAGCAACAGGCCCTTTTCTGCCCCAAAATCTGATATTCAAGACAATCTTTTTAAATTGCCTCACTGGATGGCTGCCCCCTCCCGCCAAGTTCACCTCACAGGACTATTATTATTATTGCTGTTGTTGTTGTTAGTTAATCACTCTATCCCAGCTTACACTGAGCTCTGGGTGATGTCCATGGGGGCATAATGCCATAAAAACATATAAAACATTAGAATTCTACAGAACAATTTAATAAAACTAAGACCCAATCAGAGTCTACGATGGTGGCGTCCTGATAATTTCTCACCCCCAGCTCTGGACTATCGGGCCAGTTTCTGGGCAGGGTGAGAGGAAAAATGAAGAGAGGAGAAAATTTTGGCATTCATGTTCAACCTCCCATACCAGACACACAAGTTAGAAGACTTTGGGGGAAAACAGACTCAATTCCAGGAACTAGATTCAATTCTTGACTGAGGTAAACCTGAGGCTGTGCATGTTGCTTACCCTTATTGAGTTCCATTTGTGTCCTGTTTAAACAAGATTAAACAAACAATGTGGCCTGTATCAGGGCCTCAGATCCAGTGTGTTAATGCTGCATATATAGGAGCTGACATTTCAGCTGCAATTAAATGTCAGTTGTGTGAAAATTGATAGGGATACATTTTATTTTAAGTACCTGGCAGTATGTTTCAACCATGCCTATTGTTGGTATGGTTGTGTAAAAAATATGCCTCTGGCATGCTGAATTTGTATGATGAGCTGTGAAGGCAATGATCAGACGTACAGACATAGAATAATAGAATCATAATCACAGAGTTGCAAGGGGCCATACAGGCCATCTAGTCCAACCCCCTGCTCAATGCAGAATTAGTCTAGAGCATCCCTGACAAGCAGGGCTTTTTTTGTAGAAAAAGGCCAACATGAACTCATTAGCATAATAGGCCACACCCAACAGCAGAAACTCATTAGCATATTAGGCCACATCGCTGACATCACAGCTCATTAGCATATTAGGCCACACCCATGCCTTCCCTTGGCATGCCCGGGCACCCCGCGGCCGCGGGGAGCCTGAGCAAGCCCCCCCTTGAAGGGAAGGGAAGGCAATTTAAACATGTCCCCCCCCCCAACCTCCTCTTCTCCAGACTAAACATTCCCAAGTCCCTCAGCCTTTTCTCATAGGGCGTGGTCTCCAGGCCCCTGACCATCCTTGTCACTCTCCTCAGCACCCACTCCATTCTGTCCACATCCTTTTTGAAGTGAGACCTCCTGAACTGCACACAATACTCCAGGTGCGGCCTTACCAATGCAGTGTATAGCGGGACTATGACATCTTGCAATTTGGATGTTATGCCTCTGTCAATACACCCCAAGATCGCATTAGTGTTGGGCCAAAGCTTTTACCCTGCTGACTTTCAGTCCAGGGCTTCAGGAGTTTGAGGGGCAGATGAAACAAACATTTTCTATGTGTCAAAAGGGAGGGGAATGGTTTCCCCCCAAAAAAACCTGTCAATGAAACAGGAAAAAATGGTCCTGAGGACCTATCAGCAGGCTAGCCACATGACAAACCCAGAGGCAATTCCAAAATGGCAGGTAGGCACTGGGAGGAGGGGAACCAAGTAAAGAGGCTCAGGCTGGTTGTTCTTGTACAACTTAAGATAAACACTGGCTGGTGAGAAGGGCAGATTGGCCTGTGGCTGGCATTTTATTCACACTGTTTTTTGGTTCTCCTGGTTGAGGAAGCATGAACAGCCAATAATCTGAGCCAAATGCCCAATCTTTGTATATTGCTCACATGCCACTTGACAAGCATGGGTGAGAATATTCATGTTCTAAAAAATAAATAATCAAAACTCTATGCTGAAGTAGCACACATTCTGAACCACAAAATGAGGCATTCAGAGATATGGTCACGGGGTTGCCGGTGACATCAAAAATGTAATTCCAGATCCCAGCAAAGAAAGCCACAGGAATAATATATACCCCACCTAGGTACACCCCATCAAGGGCTACAGCACCCCTAGGCCACTTCAGATCAGAAAAATGACATGGGGATGGGAAGGCTGAAACCACCTCTCTCTATGAGCCATGGCGCACATCTGAATTGGGCCTGTGTGGAACTAATAATACTCACGTGATGAACCGAGGAAAAATGTACAAGTACTTGACTTTCACTGGCTTTCAATTTTTGAAGCAGGAAACAAGAAAGCAAAGCCTCACTGGCTACCAAAAACAATTGGAGGCTGGCTACCACATTCAGCACAACTGGTGGAAACCACTGTATTTGTTTTGGTTTTGTTTAATCCTGTATGTCAAATTTGCTTACATCATCTCTCACTTTGCCAGTCTTCCTCTGGTTTCTACCAGTTCTTGGCAAGAACAAAGAGGAATGTGGAAGGGCTGACACCCAAACAATTGAAGCCCTGGGAATCGTGTTCATCCATGTTTCTGCCTTCTGAAATGTCTGATATTAATAAGAACGTCATGGAAGAGAAAACAAATGAAGTAACTTACCTTGATGGCAAACTGGACGCAGGTCTTCTCATCCGGTTGATAAGAGATACAGAGCATCACCAGCCCTAGCACTGCCACGACACAAAGCTACAAAAGACAAAATTCCATTTGAAAAGGCAAGAGAGAAAGCAGAGGCCCTTTCTGTACTGACACTAAACTCTGGATAATCTGAGCAGTCAAGCCTTAAAGCTTGACTTCGGCTTTTGTGGGTGCCCTCTGGGGGACCATGGTAGAGTCAGAGCCAGAGTCCTGCCACAGGGCTGATGAGGGAGACAGGCTTGGGCTGGGTGGTTGTTCGCATGTTGGGTGGGGGGCATCGCCAGCACAACGCGTGCCCATTTGCTCGCTCGCTCCATTTCCTTTTCCCCCATGGCAATCCAAGATTAGCGATAAACTAATAATGCAAGACTAAACCAGCTTGTTAAAAAAAATAAAAGGTGGAAAGTCTAGGCGAGAGTGGAACTTGTACACTGATACGGGGGGGGACCCCTAAACCTTTGCTAGGGTTCTAAGATGGCTACCCAAGAGTAAAAACAGAGTGAAGAATCTCCTAGTTCAAAAAACATGCCCGTTGACCAATAAGGAGTTTGAGGAAGTGGGAGAAGGATTGGCCGGGGGGGGGGGAGTCCAAGGGAATGTCTCTGCTTCTGAATTATTTTGGCTTGGAAGCGAAGCAAGGGGAAGAATTGTGGCAAAAGCACTTCCAGAGAAGCTGGGGAAACAGCAAGCTGAAAGTGAACCAAGAATTGAGGGATGAAAATGAATGCAGAACTAAAAAAAACCCCAAACCCTGATGGACATGCAAGGTAAACGTGGGGGGACATGTGGAACAAAAAAAAAATGTGATGAAGAGATGCTGTGAAACTGAGGGAAACCACCGTGCATAAAAGGCCAGAGTCAGAGCAAAGCCTCCCGCTTTCCAATACCAAATACCATGCCACCAATGTATGCAAAGCAGTCAATCCACTGTTTACTTCACAATGTTTATTCTGGAGCCCCTACTGGAGTGGCTGAATCCATCTTGCAATGTGAATGAGGATGGTGAGCCCAAACAAGGGACTTCTGTTTGTCTAGAGCCCAGAGAAGTAACAGGGAGAAAACTGAGCATCTAGTCTGTAGCCCATGATGACTCCAGGGCTCTTTTCTGATCCAATACGACCTAATGTGGGGGCACCCGTTGAATGTGTCTTTAAACTGCACTTTAGTTTTATCGCCATCTAATGAATGTTTTATATGGATTGTTTGTGTTTTAACTGATGCTTGTATTTATGTTTTATTGCGTTTGAATACTGCTTGTCAGTTTGGAAGCCGCCCTGAGCCCGCTTGCGGGGAGGGCGGGGTAAAAGTGGAATGAATGAATAAATAAATAAATAAATAAATTTGTAGCAGGAATTCCTTTGCGTATTAGGTGACACACTCCTAATGTAGCCAATCCTCCAAGAGCTTACAGAGTTCTTCTTACAGGGGCTACTGCAGAAGGAATCCTTCCCAATCCGAGTGCTCCAGTTCTGCTTTTGCTTCCTCCCCCCCCCCCTTAGTGCAGCAGGGCCTGGAGTAGATCCCTGTGGAGGCCATTTCAAAAGGTATTGGGGGGGAATTCAACCCTCCCTGAGGGTTTTTTTCCTTTTCAACTTTTTGGATTTTTCTTTAGACTCACGGAGTCCACCTGGAGGCTGGCAAACCTAGGTCTAGCAGCATCCTCTAGGTGACTTGATACCACCTGACCTGCATGATTCAGCTAGGCCTGGCTGCTTGCTACTGTTCAACAGCAGCCACGCTAAGAAAGTCAGTGTGGTATCATGGTCAGAGCTTCAGAGCAAATGCTAGATGCAGAGTGGGCCAAACTGTTCCACTTTGAGCTGCAAGAGGAGCCTTCAGTAATCTGAGTGCCCATCTACAGTCTGACATAGACTTAGGGCTGCCAACTCTGGTTTGGGGAATTCCTGGAGCTTTGGGATGGTATAATGCCATAAAGTCCACCCTGTAATGCTGCTGTTTTCTTCAGAGGAACTGACCTCTGCAGTCTAGAGATCAGATGGCAACCCTAGATATGGTACTGTCAAGACAGGTTAACTACCACCAACAGAACCAGGCTGTGACTCTTTGTGTTAGCCACAAGTTCTGCTTTGCCTTTTCTCTTTCACTTCCAAAAATCGAGCAAATGCCTGCAAAAATAGGGAAAACTGAATAAACGTATTCTGCTTGCTTCATTATCCTAACAGCAATTTTGAAAGATTTTTTTTTTGTTTGATCTCTGGATTGTAAATAAAGAATGTATGTATGAGGATTTTTAAAAATTGCAATACTCTATGTGCCTCTGTGTTCCTGTTTTATTTGTGACCTTGAAGTTGTAGAAGGCAAGTGACTGTTAAACCATAAATGGGCCCAGAGATTTATTCTCAGATTTTTTAATCTTATCATAGTAAATCAAGTTTGTCTTCCCAAAAGAGTTATGAACCCCAGTTTCACTTTTTGCATGCTGGGATCATTTTGCTCTTGTTGTCCCACTGCCTAAATTCCCCTTAGTTCATGCAAAAGGACTAAAGCACTAGATTTTCTGCAAGGAACAGAGTAACAGTTTTGCCACTAATAAAGGAGGAGGGAATCATGTCAACTGCTTCCCTTCAATCCCTTTAACAAATCAGGCCCTATTTAGCACATTAGCACTATTTGATCACTCTCCTGTCACAGGAGGTTAGCTGCAGCAATGGGACAATCCAAATGGAGACTTACAGGAACGAGTTTCGTCTATTATCTCTTGCTAACTTAACCCCCAAAGCCTCAAAAATTTGCTGCAAAGTTCTGCTACACCCAGCAAAGTGGAATGTTAGTAAAACATTGGGGGGGGGAGTGCACATAAGTAGGATGTTGCTAAAACAAGCACTTGTCGGTATTGTACACCATGCTGTTTCTATGTTCTGCTGCACTGCCAAGAAAGGAACCATTGCTCATTTTGATCTTAATAAGCAACCACGAGAAAGAAGCATCGTGTGCTCCAGAATACAAACATATTGCATTGAGAGCCAGACATTATGATATCCCAGTGCAGTGCCAAAATCTACATGCCAGTCTTCTGCACTTCGAAACTGGTTGTCTAAAATAATGCAGGGGGCTTTCTGACCAAAAAACACACAACAATATTTTCAGTATTTTGTGCTGTCCTGATTATTTCAGAGTACGCATATATGTCAAAAGGGGGATCAGGAAAATAGATGCTTTGGAGGGTGGGCTCTTATGGCATCATACCCTGTTGAAGCCCCTCCCCACATCCCACCCTCCCCAGGCGTCACTCTCCCCGAAACCTCCAGGAATTTTCTAGCCCAGAGCTGACAATCCCATGTCTGAAATTCAGGTCAAATGCCAAAGTGATATGAATCAATCATGTCAACAAGTGTGCTGAAAGCTTTTGAGACTGAAATTCAGCTGCCCTCCGAAGCCATTAAACAATCACCTCATTGTTTCCACAAGCTTAATTTCCACACAGAAGATATGACAAATATATGAACATGATACATTGCTAGAAATAACCATTTTTCCTCACTTGATCTCAAACAGATTTGGTATTTTCAAGTGTGCCAGTTTTAAGGGCAGCTTGGCATTTCCCAAACCCAAAGCTACTTTCTCTTTGTAAAGGAATCAGGGTAGGGGAAGGATGCTTGGGGGGGTGTGTGAGGAACCCTGTGCCTGTTTGGTGGGAGCGGCTTGGCTGTTTAATTTTTTGATGATGGTAGAAGGCACTACCATAGACCCTTGCTGTATTTGGCAGAAAGGCCTTCAAAACATAACCTCAAGGGACACAGTTGTGTATTTGATGCGCAAAAATAAATGCCTGAAGTCTGTTCTCCTAAAAATTAACAGTTGCACTTTGCAGTTCACTGTATGCTGCATTAATCTGCTCCTCGGCGCTCCATCCTATGCGGACTTCTGAAACAAGGTTGTGAATAAACTGCTTCATTCTTTTAAAAAGGAATTCCATTACAAACGTTTAATTGAACACCAAGGCTTACAGGATAGTCTGCTCTAGAGTCCCCCGTCTGCTGCCTGTGGGCACAGTGGTGGCTGCCAACCACCTATCCTGGCACCCACAACCTGTTTTAGAAGGTGACTGGTACTTTTGCCCAGTGAGGCTTCTGACTGGCTATTGGAGATATGTGCAGATTTTTTAAAGAAGTTCTTTGGTAGCAGCTGCCCCCACAACACAAGGGTCTTCACTGCATTGGAGAGGAGGGGCACTTAACCCTTTCTGCTTCTTCCTGTTTCTCCAACTCACATTGTGTCCCCAAGAGGCACAAAAAAATTAATTAGAAACCCATAAAATGTAGGTGAGGGGACACCTTGTCTCTTGGTCTCCCTAAATGACATCTTTGAACATCGGCACAAACAAGGCCATTTGGATTTGGAGCCCTTGTGTAATCTGGTGGGGCGGCGATACTTTTACTGGAAACTGCATGATGTTAACTGCAAGTTTTGGGGCTTTGAGTCTAGGGTCAGTGTGGATGGTGTAATGCCATATATTGTTAGCAGAGGTACTTCTAGACTAACAGATGGACTACTGGGTCTGAGATCTGGGGGAAGGGGGGTTGCTACTTGAATTCAATGCCATAGACAGGGAGGGGCAGCTTATGTAATGCACAACAACAATCTTCTCTTCTAGTGGTACTGCCTTTCAGTAAGTCAGTGGAAGCATCTAGATATGACTATGCATAATGGCAAACACAAGGCATGTATTTAAAACAATAATGAACATCTGGCTATTGTAAGTACACGTCTGAAGGTGCCTTAACATGGAAACATGGAAACAATCTGTAGGTTATCTCAGTCCACCCTGGTTCACATTGTTGACATACACAACCAGTCCACCCCACAAGTACTGAGCTATTCTGTTTTTCTCTGGTGGTGTATCCATTTTGGTCACAGAAGTACTCTTCTGGGAATACAGGAAGCTATACCCTGGAAATACCTTAACCAATGCTCCCTCTAAGATGTGCAGTCTTGTGAGCAAAATTCTACTATGTGAGCTACTGGCATTAAAGTTGTGAGCGAGCAATTTGGCTACTGCATAAATTAGTTTGCTCTGAAGGCATCCT